GCTCTGGGAAAGGAGTCCTCTGTCCTCTCCGGTACGGCACTACAGTCCAGTGCTGGTCCCGTTCATCCTCCATCACGTAAGTTGTCGTGCTAATAGTTTTTGTTTTGATAAAAGATGTTTAAAACTTTCGTGGAAAAGAGAAGTCTTCCGTACTCGTGCTAAAATATTAATTCAGAGAACCCACGACATAAAAAAAGAAGTACTTTTTATTTAAACAAATAAATTAATTAAACAAATTGAAATAGCGAGCTAAAACACAGCAACGTTTAGATCCCTCTACGGGATCTTCCTCAGGGGGATGGCTTCCTCACAGAAAATTTAAATTGCAGAGGAGATCCTTCTGTGGAGCCGCTCTCTACCTGTGGGGGGGGGGCAGTCTTCGGGATGCCAGGCTTAAGTCCATGTCAGCGGCTGCTGGGACTCGTCAGGGGACGGGGACCGGGTTTCTGCTTCCATCACCATCAGCGGGCTCCATGTCCCCAATCAGGGGATGCAGTCCGGGGGCCAGGGAGAGAGAGCCCCCCTCCAGGTCTGGACATGACAGTGAGGGAAGAAAAGAGGTAGGAGGAAAGGAATCACTGGGTCAGAGTCACAGCAAAAGTGTCCTATTGGTCCATTGTGAATGGTTAGGGGAAATAAAAAGGAGGAATAGGGCAAATGAAATCTAAAGGAGTAATTTAAAGCGAGGGTAACTCACCCTTCTTCTTCTCACGATGGAGGTGGAGGTGTGGCTCCTACCTGGGCAACCTGGGCAGCCTGTGAGGTGGGTTCATCACTTTTTAGTTGAATTAGCAGAGGAGTCAGGTCCTGACCTCCTTACCTTCTTCATTTTCCAGGTGATGAAGGCTGTCCGGGTGAAGATGACTTCCCCCCCTAATGGATGAGGGGAGGGAGCTGCTGTTCCAGAGGAGTGATGGTGAGTATGTAGGTCGGTACCAACCTTCTGTGTGTCTGCAGCTGTTCTGGGGCTGAGCGGCGCTGTGGAGTTCTGGCAGCTGTGTGAAGGGAACCCCGACAACAGGAGGAGACGGACATCCACGGGCAGGAACACTATGGAGCCAGCCGGTAAGAGTCCAACAGCTCAGCACAAGTCTGACCTTCACCTTAGTCCAACCTTGACATTACTTTTTTTTAAAATCTGACCTTGACTTGTGAGTGACCTTGACTTTTTGGATCTAACCTTGAAATTACCTTGGCATGACATTGTTCTGACCTTGGCATTACATTCATCTTCATCTGACCTTCCCCAGAGCCTGACCTTGGCCTGACCTTCACCTTCACCTGACCTTGGCCCGCTGCTTTCAGGGACGGCGGGTCCACAGACGGCTGGACATCTACGCCCTGTCTGACTCCACGCTGCACGGGAAGCTGCTCGTCTACAGCCACCCCCAGAAGGCCGCCGTCGACCCGGGAGCCAGCCTGAGAGGAGAGGGGGGGTCCAGGCCCTGACGCCAGGTTCTGGTCCAGTTCTGGCTCTGTTCTGGCTCGGTTCTAGCCCGGTTCTGTCCCAGTTCTGGCTTGGATCCAGCCGGGTTCTGGCTCGGTTCTAGCCTGGTTCTGTCCCAGTTCTGGCTCGGTTCTAGCCTGGTTCTGGCTCGGTTCTAGCCTGGTTCTGGCCCTCCACGGTTCTGACCCTCAGCTCGTGCCTCTCCCTGCAGGTCTGTGCTTCAGGCTGTTCTACGTGAGTCCGGACTGGAGCTCCGGGCCGGTGGGGGGGGCAGCGGGTCGGGACCATGCTGCCCATGCTGTACCCGGGAATCACCTCCCACCTGCAGATGAGCCACAAGAGAGACCCCACAGGCTACTTCTGAGGGCCTGCAGAACCGGACCAGAACCGGGCCAGACCTCTGAGTCCTGCTGGGACCACAAGCTGCTCCCTGTTTTCTGAATAAATGGTTTAAATCATCCTGGGTTTTGTGCTTTTTGGGTTCTTTCAAACGTGGGGGTGGGGGGGCAGCCTGCTCTGATGCGTTCCGGAGCAACCCTTCTGGATCTTCTGGACCCTCATCTTTCCAGCAAAACCAGCCTCAGGACACACATACGAACTGAATATCTGCCTCTGCTCCATCAAAGGCAGCTGCAGTCTTGGTGTCCTGATTGAGGACCAGCTGAGGGTAAAGACCACCGGTCCTCTGCTGCTGGACTGCGTTGCTTCTTATCACTAACAGAAAGACCACCTCAAAACAACTGAGAACAGGTGTCCTCCTCCCAGTCTGAGATACTGAGCAGGAGAATATGGGTGTGATCCCCATGATGATGCAGAGATCCGTTCTGTACGGCTGGATGATGAAGGTGAGTCTGGACCCTGGTGATCCTGGTTCTGGACCACATTTCAGAGGCATCCCAGGTGGCCTGTGTCCAACGGGACAAATTTAACGGAGTGGAACTTGGAGGTTGGGGAAAAGTGGCTGATTGTAGGGGACTCAAATTTGTCCTATTTCCCGGGCCACGGTTATCCTGATTTACAGGTGGACAGCTTTCCGGGGGCCCACTTTCGACACGCCCAGGCGCTGATGGAGAAGGAGGAGCCACCAGAGGAGCTGATGGTCGAAAAAATTATTTTGGCATTTGGAATCAATAGCAGGATCAATAAGTGCAATGCGACCACAATTAAGGGGCAACCAATAAAAAGTTACCCTACGCTGATATTTGGATTCCCCTTATAAATTTTTCACCACACCTCCCGGAGATGGAGAAGGATAATCTGCAGATTCTCAATGACCATATTTTTTAGGAACATGCCCTTGATCCCACTCCTACCGGACCACCTCTTCCAGACGCAGATGGACGGCATCCATTGGACGGAGGACATGGCCGGAGCGATGTTGAACCACTGGATGGCGGCGTTAAACTGCAGGTCCCCCTAAGCCTGAACACAGAAGGGGCACAGGTAACAGCACCACTCCATACTGCACAGCAGGTGGTAGTTTTGGCGGGAAACGACAAGGGGTCAGCAGTAGTTTTAATGGACAAAGAACAACACAAATTAGAGGTAGACGATTTAATGATCTAAACTATTATTAAAAATTGGAAAAAACAATATTTAAAGAAAAGATTCCCATGGTGGCTAAATTAATAAATACATTAAAAACAAACAAATACATTAATTTGGAACAAAAATATTTAATAGGAAATAAAACACCCAGAGAAAAACAATTTTATATCCTCCCCAAAATTCATAAAGATCCCCGAAATTGGACAGTCCCATTCAAAATTCCCCAGAGTAGACCGATCGTCTCGGATTGTAATAGCGAGACTTATTACACGGCTGAGTTTTTCGGACCACTACCTGAATCCTCTGTCCGTCCTACACCCGGCCAAGGACACCTACCATTTTGTTTAAGTGGTCCGTGGTTTTGTCCTGCCGCCACATTGCTTCCTCTTTACGATGGATGTTACCAGCCGCCATACAAACATTCCCATAGAGGCTGGCCTCCAATGTGTTAAGAGAGATTTTTAAAGCCCACCCGGACCCCAAACGCCCTGATGAAGAGTTACTGGAATTATTAAAAACTAATCTGACCAGGAACGATTTTGTTTTTGAAAATCAATATTATTTACAGATAAAAGGGACGGCCATGGGGAAAAGGTTTGCCCCGGCCTATGCCAACATTTATATGGCCAACTGGGAGAGGCTAGCCCTCCAAAAGTGCAGCAAGACCCCCAGATGCTACTTACGCTACCTCGACGACATCTGGGGCGTCTGGGATGGCTGACGGGAGGAATTCCACCATTTTGTCGACACCCTCAATTCCCACAATCCTTAAATACAATTAGAATTTGAATTAAAAGACAACACAATTGATTTTTTAGCCACATCATAAATAAAAGGAACACATTTCATAGACACAGGCAAATTGGAGATAAAAGTATGTTTTAAAAGAACAGACACACACGCATTATTACACAAACAAAGCTTCCATCCCACACACACATTCAAAGGCATAGTTAAGTCCCAATTGTTAAGATTCAGACGCATTTGCACCAACCCCGAATTTTTTT